GCTACGACAACTAGATACGCTACAGTAATTAACCCTTTGTCTGTTATCTTGGGGTGAATACCCGAGCAAAGTTAGAGATCAAATTGAAATCATAATTTGCTGTTATGATGTAACTTATTTTGAATACTCCATTTGATCTCTTTTTGGTTGACTTAACGGTTAACACAGCAAAAATGAGATCAAAATTTTACACTGTTGAATCAAACGGAAAACTAATTCTGCTTTCAATGAAATCAATTTGATTACTGATTTTGCATTCATAATGTTTGACTGAATACGGGCCTGTCGTAAATGGTTAGCATCCATGCTTCTCACGCTAAAAGATTTGAGCTCAAATGTCACCTCGGGCTAGTCACGAATGACCTAACATGTGTTAAACAAAACAAATAAACAATAATCGTTAGTTCAACGACAGATGAACTTAAATCAAATTTTAAACAAGAAATTAACAGCAGAACTTCAAGTTAAGATGCTTTGAATTAAAAAGTCTTGACTGCATAATGAAAGCACAATATGATATCAGACTTCTGTCGCGAAAATTGAAATCAAAATGAGTTTTCATTATGATAGGAACTGCAAACTTTAATATCGATTTGCTTTCATTTTGTTAACTGACCCGACCCCAGACAATTTTTACAATCTTGATTATTCATCAGAACGATTTTTTCTCTGACATTTTTGTATGCTAAAGTCTTCTTGATTTGCCTGTTTCTTAGTTGAGACATATTCCGAATTGTATTACATAACGTTTTGAAGGATTTTTGCAATGAACCGATACTTTAATTGAGTACCGTAATGGTAGCAAATTGATAACTTAAAACGTAAGTATTGAATAATTCTCGCATTAAAAAATTTTCAAACTTATGGTATAAAAACCAATAGGCTATGATGATGCTATCGTACCGCGTGATTATTTATTACAATAAGTGTATTAATTACTGTTTGGATATTTTTGAAATCTCTAATTGGAAAATATAGATATCGGGTGAAATGGCTGTCGAATGACTTTCTATAAGATATTCTAATTAAATTTGGGTCCTCTAAATCCTCGCACAAAATGTATGTTCAACAGATATTATGCAAAAAAAAATATATATTTTTAAATTTTTATCACTGGTTATATCACAGAAAATTATTAATTTTTAACATTGGAAACATTTTACCACATTTAAAAAAAATAGATTCATTGAAAATTAGTTCAACGAAAAATGTAATTTTCATGTTAAGGCAGCGGTAGCGGCGTTGCGGCGCCGATGGTGTAGTGGTAAGCGTGATTACCTCTCACCCCAGCAAGCCTGGGTTCAATCCCAGTCGGCGCCACCGGGATGTTCTGAGTCATTTTTTCATAGCAAGATGGTAGGAAGCCCATTTGAAATAAAATCTTCGAAAGCAGATAATATGGCTGCTAAGGATAGCAGCCCCGGGATCCCAGGATCCTAAATCTGGCACTGATCTTAGGTTATTGTATACTTTCGTCTGGACCTGGGTTCAGGTCAAATTTCGATGCACTAATGCGATTTTGATTTAAGGGGGGAAATACAAGTAAAAAATTTTTTTTTCACGATTTTTTATATTTTACTTTAATTTTTTTTAAATGCTTCGAGCACAAGGAAGGAGTGATTTATGGCCCCGGTATCGCCGATTAACCGTAAGTTCCAGAAATCATGTTTTTACACAACCCAGAGCTTTAAACGCGTTTTTCTCGAAACGGTGTTTTCCATATTGGCGGGACAGTGAACTCAAAAAGTTCTCGTCCAAATGACTTTAAACCTGGCGCATCTTAAAGGAAACAGATTTTTACTCTATGTGAACCACTCATATCATGAAAAAATAACAATAAATAATTTTCAGGTCTGCCTAAAGTGGAAAAAACAGTGAAAAATCAACTTTTTTATTAGATATTTTTTTTCTAAATTTTTAAACCGTTTTTTTGGGTTTTAGAAGTTTACATAGAACACAAATCTTTTATAAATAAGGTCCAATTGATAAAGGTAAGTTTTGTCCATTTTTCAGGTCTCCAAAACGCCCGCTAATTACCAATCTCCACCGGAGGTGACCTCCTTCCGATGTGACCCCAAGGAGCCACAGAGGTCACACACCAATGAAAAAAATCTCTAATTTAGAAGAATATTTAAGCAATTTAATGCAAAAAACCCCAAACGTTTGCGTTGTTTCATTTGCTCACAAAAAAATTCCGAAAATTGTCGAGTTTTTGACGTGTTACTTGTATTTCACCCCTTAAAGTTCGTGTGGATTTGGTGCAGATTTTATTTCAAATTTCGAAAATACCCACATTACAACTCCCTAGTCTGAACATGGAATTATCGTTAAAACTCATTGATGAAGTTGGGAGTCACTGCCAGTGGTGTAAGCGGTTAGTAGACGACGCATGTTCTGTGATAATCGACTGCCTTTGCTTCCGACATTTGCAAAACAAGCTATCAAAGTACAGTACCAAACTGAAATGTCATATGGTCAGGCATGGCAAATCATTTACATTCATTTCGTGCATTCATTTACATTCATTTGCTTCTAACTTTTGCCATCAACAGAATTCCGTAAAATGATGTTTGTAGCTTTTGTAGAGTTTAATATTAACTAAACATTTTGCCAAGAACTCAAATCTGTACCTCTTACGCATGACGAACTAGAGCTGGCGCAACTTGTTACTATTTTTCAGTGAATGTAATTTAGCTGGTTCTATTCGCTCTGGTTCATCATGCATAAGAGATACAGATTTTAGTTTCTGACAAAAGTTGTTGCTAATATCAAAACCTACAAAAGATTTGTACATCATTTTACGAAATTCATTTACGCAAAAAGTTAGAGGCAAATGAATTTAAATGAATGCACGAAATGAATGTAAATGATTTCCCATGCCTGCATATGGGATTCCTTCCATACGACATTGTCGTCGAATACCGTCACGTATTTACGTATTTTAGTTTTTCTCATAATAAGAGCTGCTAATGTTGCACTTGTGTGAATTCTGAAAAAAGCAAGCAGTGATATTCTAATTGTACAATTTCTGATTAGAAATGGTTTAATTTACTTTAAATTGAGGAATTAGAACGAAATAGTGAAACAGTGTCATATGATAGTTATTTGATATTTTTCTTTTTGCTCGAATGTTTTTCTACCGTTGTTTGTGTGAGAAAGACGACGGTAGAGTGAGTGTGTGCATACAAGCAGACTATCACGCATGACAGCAAAGCGAGTGTAGTAAAAAATGTCTACTGTTTCAACCCCTGGTCACTACATTGCATTGTCATTGTATTACATTCTCCTAAATCCATGCTTGGACACACAACTAACTATTTTTGAGAAAAAAATGTCTATGGCTTTTTTTAGTCGCTCCTCCGTGATTGATCAGAACTAATGCACTTGTACAGAGATCCACGTAAATGGTTCATGGGATTAGCTTTCCATATTCAAGGTACAAACACCAGTCTTGTAAGCGGTCACCGTAGTCGACACATTTTCTGTGATAATCGACTGCATTTGCTTCCGACACTTGCAAAACAAGCTATCAAATTACAGTACCAAACTGAAATGTCATATGACAGGCTCTGTCATACGACACTGTCGCGAAGACCGTCACGAATGCATGTATTTTAGTTTTTCTCATAATAAAAGCTGCTGATGTTGTGCTTGTGTGAATTCTGAAAATAGTGAGCAACGATGTCCTAGTAAAACAATTCTGATCAGAAATGGTTTAATTTACACCAAATTGAGGAATTAGCATGTAATAATTTTCTTTTTGCTCGAATATTGTTCTACCGTTTGTGTTGTGTAAGAAAGAAGACGGTAGAGCATGAGAGAACGAATAAAAACAGGCTGTTTCAACCCTGACAAGCACACTAATTCAATCTTTATAATAGATCAATCACAGCGCCATCCACGTCCTCACGGTCTTTTGAGGAGGGAAGGATGATTAGTTCGACGTTCGTTGTTACTAGAGACCTAAATACACCCCTCTGCATTTCCAAGGCTTTCACGGGGAGGATAGTTGTGTTAGTGAGGTGGGTTATTTTTAGATCAGGATTCAACTGTGGTAAGTGATACGATGATGGGTTGGGTAGATTAAAGCAGAATTCGTTTTCATTTTCTAGTGGGGATAGAAATAAGGCAAAGTGAAAAATTGCAAGGAAAGGGGACGGGCCTGGGATTGAACTCGTGACCTTCAGCTCAGTAAGCAGAAACGGGTAACCACAGGACTACCAAGCCTCGTCGTACCCCTGGTCACTACCATTGCATTGTCATTGTATTACATCCTCCTAAATCCATGCTTGAACACTCAACTCACTATGTTTGAGAAAAATGTCTATGGCTTGATTATTTAACTTTAATGGTATTTGTGAATATGACAGTTGGACAATTGGTTGTGGTAAGACATCATTAGCAAATAGGTTGTCAAAAATATTTTAGATGCCAATTATAACATTAATTGCTTTTGACAAACGTTTGATCTATCTTATGTGTTTATGTCAAACTATCGCAAACAAAGTGGGTTATCGTTAACACCAACAGAGAGGGTTTGAATCCTCTAATAATATGTTTATGTAGGTTATGGGCAGCCCCTTAAATACATTTGGAACCTGGCCATTTTTTTAAATCTTTATTATAGAGATTTTTAGCCGAAGGCTAGTTCATCTCTAATCTGGCCATTTTAATAGATCGCATTTACAACTTTCAAAAAAAAAAAAAAACAAGACACATTATTCAATCACTGCGGTATTCGAAAATGTCATTTCTGTTCCTCTGCGTTATTCAACGAATCAACCAGAGGAGATAGGGATTTGCATCATTTAGCTTACATTTGTGTTTTTTTGTTCGCCTTTAACCATATGGACAATATCAAAAAGGAAATGCTTAAAATGCCATCTTCAGTCTGAAACTGTGTCAACTACAATCGGAAATGAAATCGTATTGCTCTTATATAGCTTATGTACCGGTTATTACACAAATGATTACTAATTACAACTTTCTCATGTACTTACCATGCTGCGGTTGAACCAGTCGGTTGTCTATCTGTATGGAGCCACCGATAGTTGAGATCACAAGAAGAACCAAGCCTATGCTAAGCATGTGCCAGCTTCTCCGCCTCGGAATCTCCATTTTCCACTTGTTTTTTTTTTGTGTGTGCAAAAATTTAAAGACAGCCCTCCACTCTCACTGCCGTTTGCTTGTTGATTAAAATTCACTACTTCACAGCGCGGTGATTTTGCGTCTCACTTTGTATGTGTCTTGATTTTCACTCAGTGTTCTCGTTTTCCCTAAATAAAATTCAAAAAAATGTTAATTATTTCCTTTGTCCCGATTTTTTGACCATTTTGTTGTGGTGGCACACTCTGTGGCTGTTTGCGACTGATTTCGCGATCTTGTATCTTTATGTTCCCTTTATTTCGCGCACCCGTGTTCCATCCCGGCAGCTTTTGGGGCGGAATTCCAAGCACTTGAAACCGTTTCACTGCCGTCCGGCCCGGTAGACACAACCTTTCTTTTATCTCACACCGAACCACGCGCGGCGGCGGAAAAGGTCAGGCCCACAAAACACAAAACTTAAAACCATTAACTAGCGACGAATTTCCGAAATTCGCGCCAGCACCGTAATTGGGCACGGAGAGAAAGCGCGACTAGTTTTTGGCGAATTTCTAGCGGTCACTGTTACGTCTTCCCTAGGTCCATTTGTCCCGGGGCCTGGCGTTTTACACCCGTTAGGAGTATTATCACGTTAGATTGGGTGTTATTATCTTCAGTTTTCGCAAGATTGGGTTGATGAACTTGGGCGGTGTAATTAGTTGGGGTAGAAAATTTCACAATCTCCAATCTACCGGTCACACACAACTGTTTTCGAATATGTGGAAGTTTCACAAACAGCACATGATCACCCTTTTGTGGCTTGTGTAGGCAGTTGCGAATCTTCCCACTCCTGAAACTGAAGAACAACCGGGAATGCGTAGTTATTATACCAATCAGCTCCCTACCACGCGACCAAGCGGTGTCATCCTAGGTAAAACGGGAAGTCCAATGGGGTCTGATGTTGCATCGTTGGACGGGTCTGCTGTCATCACAGCAACAGCAATGGTAGTAGATTAATCCGATCATAAATTTGCTTCATTACACTCGCGCATGACGTTGATGGCAATCGACACGCTCGCTCCACACTCTCGGTGGAAGCGATGACAGCCGGAGGTGGGTACCGGATCTAACGGGCGTGGCCTTGTGAGTTTTGTGTGTTGCGATTAGAATCTCAGTCTGGAGGAGTAGAGAAAGGAGCTGTGCTAATTAAGTGGGATCATTTGTTTGGTAGTTAATTAAAATGAATATTTTTACAAAAAAAAAATCATCACAGGAAAATGTAACGGAAGCGTAGCAATCTTATAAACAGAGGAATCTTGATTTGAACTGTGCACTGGGGTAAGTTGGGATCATGTTCTTGAACTCATTTGTTAGCATGTTGCTCACGATTGCGAATGGTTAATTTGGTGTTGTATAACTTATGAGCCTCTAACATGTTTGCATTTGTATGCCAAGCACAAAGATGCTCTATACCCATGAAAGTCGAGCGAATTTCTAATCCTCGACTTTTTGGACTGGATCAGGATTCGAATCTATCTCCTCCAGGATAGTACTGATTTGTATTATATTCTATCCGGAATTAGCATTGACTCGCTAGGGGACGTTTACCCTCTCTATTCATCATGCCATTCATCATAAGTTCATTCATCAAAATTAGCAGCTTTAGTCTTTAAATTTCCGCATTGTCAAAAATTACGTTTTAATCGAGCTTGGCCAATGAATCAGCATTTTACAGCTCAGCATAGCAAACTGCTCCAATCCAACCAGAACAAATGTGCGAGCTTATGAGAGCGGTCTCGATTTCTGAATGAATTGAGCATGAAATGAAGCCCGAATACTCCAAAATCAACAAAAAACAACAACAACACCATCAACGGCATCTTTGTCAAAATACTTGAAACAAAACTCGTCCGATTTGCATGTCAATACAGAGAATTTGACCTCTACTCATTTCCCCATAGCGCTCAACATCGCCGTTCATTGTTCTTTAACGCATTTATGCCCGGTTTACACTAGTGCTGGTTCATGCTGCTGATTAACTCTCAAACCCCCTGGCATCAAATACTGAAAAGTGCTACACTACCCTAATAAATTTGTTATGGTTATTTTGCTTAACGACGTGTTTGGGGTATCATCCAAACCATTTGTGGAAAAGTTCAACTATTTGGGTTATTGTTCGTTTATGGTATTTGTTTATTAGGGTACCACTCATCGCAAGTTGGACCCATTTGCGTTTTTCTCAAAACTGAGTTTTCCAATGAAAATAGTAGCTAATCACCCATATTTTAATAATACTGGATGAACTCAACAACTTGGTTCTGAAAAAGTTTGGATAAACAGCTACACAGGTTGTCCCATCGCATAAGAAGCAATGTTACCAAAAAAATTTAAAATGCGTTTTTCTCGGCTTGCTGGTTTGTGCTATGGGACGGACTTGCCATGAGCAGCAGCAAAACTATCGTAACTCCGTCATTTGTGAATAGATGTTTTTGATGAGCTATAAAAGTTTTTGAAATAATGTTTTGTAAACCGGCCTATTTTGTGCCATAAATTGATTCGTCAATATTAATCAGCTGCGAAAAACTGTTTAGATCATGCTGAACAATACATTAGGTCCAAAGTAACATTGATCGATTCTTTCATCGACTTTCGTTAATAACTAGGGTACTGAACCGTGACTTATCGTATAAAATGCTAGATAATAGCTTGTTTCATCGATATGTATGTTGAACTTAGCTGGGAATATCTTAACACAGCCGTGAGGATGCAAAGAGAAAGTTGACGAAGAGAATCTGTCAATGTTACTTAGGCCTTAATGTATTGTTCAGCTTGAATTTTTGAATCAGCACTAGTGTAAACCGGGCATTAGTGTGCCCTGGGGATGACACCACCGCGCAGAGAGTTCATGCACACCGATGATGATGATGATGTTCGGCATCTTTGTTCTAACCGCGGTGTTTTACTGCACATTCCGAATTCAGTCGTAAAAACGCGACGGTGAGCGACAACAAAAATCGCTTTTATCTACAGGCTGGCTGTGGTGGTAAAACCAGCTCGAATGTGATCAATATCATCTGGCTGCTGTGAGTGGCCGTGCTCTATTGTCTCTGAGATATTGCAGGGCAGGAGGGAGCCGATAATAAAATCCAAACATAATCAACAAGCTAATGTTTGTTTATTGTTTGATAATACGTATAGTTTCAGAAACCTTGCCATCGGTAGCCGGTGACATCGGTAGCCATAAAATGTGCTATCAGATTGTTGTTGACATGAGTCAAGGGTGAAGAAACTAGATCATTTCTATGCATATGAATCATGGCGGTATGTGAGATTTATTGGTGGATGAGGTACTTGGGCTCATTCAGTATTTACGTAATCAGTTTTTTTGGACTTTACAAACCTCTCTCCCCCAATTGCAATTGAGCATTTCCACGCCAAATGACGAATAGATAAAAATTGACCTTATTCGATTTGCTTGAAACTTTGCAAAATTGTTAGTTATGGACAATCATTCACATTTTTGCTAAAAGTCAGCCATTTTGGATCTTGTATTTTTAAATTGCCGCGCGAAAACACCACTTTTTAGCGGAATGACGTCTGACACTAAGTTGTAGAGAAAAATTGAGTGGAAAATATACACGGTTATATTTTTTGTGATTTTGAGCAAAAATAAAAAAAAAAAACGTTTTCAATAATTAAATATCTCAAAATTCCTTTGTTCATTTTTTAAAAGAGCTTATGAAAAATGCAAATTTTTGCAATATTGAAAACTATGGGCTCTTGAAAATTTACAAAAAGCGTAGAACATGAACTTACGGTAATACGCTTTTTAATGTAACACACAGGAATCAATATTTGTCCAAAGTTCAAACATTTTACCGAAAGTTCAACGATTTTTGTCAATTTTCAAATGTCCATGGTTTTCAATATACCAAAAGTTTAGAATTTTTTATGAGCTTCTCCACCTTACGGTTCTCTACCCTACGAAGCCGTTCTTCACACTACGGTTCTGTTGAACTGATTTTGCTATTACGGATAGAATCATATTTGAACACAAAATAAATCTTACAACCAAACTTGTTGATTAATACCTAGTACAGTAGACTGGCCCACATTTATATGGGGAAATTTTTTAATATTTTTTTTCTACGGGTCAACCACTATATTTGTGCCATAAGGTGAGAAAACCACTTAGCTCATTCGGATGTAATAAGAGCTGGCGCTTTAGATTTAAAGTTTATTATTTGGGATATTGGTTGAAATGTATGGAGAAATAATATCCAGTGCTGAGTTGCATCACGGTACTGTAAAGAGATTCCTACGGTTAACAATCAAAGCAACTGAGAACCCTCTCTCCGTAAAACTTCTCACCAGTATGACACAACAACCGTGAGATATCGTTGTTTTGCTTTTCTCACTCATTCGCAATATCACTAACATTTGCCATGTGTTACCATCATATCACCGAGGAAAAATAAATAGACATATAAATTGACCGTCATCTCATTTCGAGCAAAATACGGTTATGACGGTCATTCCCCTTCCAAAATCACGGATGAGGCGATATCTGTGATGTATCAAGGAAAAAGTCTTATCCTGCGTTATACAATCGTATCATAGCCAGTAATTATTATTGTGAGAATTCATATCTGCATGAACACGTACTACATGCAGTCACGAATGCTTATTCATGGATAGAGATGTTGTAGCTATTCATTTTTTCGGATACCGTGACGCTTGAGCTCCAAGAATAAGGATGCTGACCGCATATCGTATCCACATTACCGAAGCCCAAGTATCAAGGGATCCGTAAAAAGCAAAACAAATCCTTGCGTAAATAGGAATTCACCTCTAAATATTGGAATTGTGGCTAGGAATCAAAGCAACCATTGGTATCCAGCAACAAAGAAAACTTCAAATCGTTACTTTGAAGTCCGTAAGGAAACGCAATGTATTTCAATATATCTTCGCTAAAATCAATAGCAAATTCGTTTATTATTCAGTTCCAACCTGGATTGGGTATCAAGATTGGATCTGCTTGTTTTTGGAAAAA